GCTTCGAAGAATATTGTGTAAACAAAAAACAGACTATTAAAGATATTCATTAATATCGTCAGTAACCCTTTAGAAGCCCTTTTACCCCTATGCCTAAATCACCTTACCTCTATTAATAAGAATAAGGTGATAACTTCTAAAATAATCTGATAATAGATAATCAACAAAAGCAGGACATCTTTGTCATAACGGAATTATAACTTGGAGACGAGCAAGCAATCAAGTTTGCCAAAATGAATATACCAGTATTTTTCATAAGAGCAGCGATATATGTCGTTTTTCCACCTGGAGCAGACCTATAGAAACATAAATAATATTAGAGTGGCATGCAAGTAATATATCAATTAATTTCAATAATATGATAAAAGTATTTTAAAAAAGAAATGGTCCAAATGTGAGTGTTAGTGACAACGACTGGCAAGAAGGTGGTTTATCCTTGCACCTTTAATCTAGAGTAGGCGTCCAATTGGCTTGGGTATAGCACTAGGGATCGGGTTGTCTTGTGTATGTCAAACACCTACACAACTCAAATTTATCGTCAAGGATCTTCAACCATGTCTAACATGCTTAAAAACCAGGCTACTCGTATCCGATATCGGTACCAGCAGATTGATCAAAACTTCAGAAAATGGATCGGTGATAAAAATCAAGTCTATAACGGCCTTCAACAGTGAGAAAATGTGTTTTGATACTCTTACCACTAAGACAATAGTCTTCTGTGATCGAGCAATAGTTTATATTCTATTTATCTACAACCTACTATTTGATTATAATAGTGAAATTTAACTTTCACATCTAATGTGGGAATAAGCACCTATCATATCCACCTAACTTTACACAGCCAAAACGATATGAATTTAGATACTTGACCTCTAAAATAATGACTTATTTAACTCTTATGGAAGTGTAAATGGTAATAGATGCTTTGAATCTGCTGGATCAATTAAAAAAAGCACAGTAAGCATGTGACTGAAAATTCTTACGCCATATCGACAATCCGCTCCTTCTCCTGCGGAGCAAGTGCCATCACAGGTATGAAAGAGCTTGCACCTTGCAGCTGCAGATCGATATAAAATAAAAAAATAATAAGCAAATTACAAGAATTCAAACTAGAAAGCCCCCAACTGACTAGATAAAAGTGATAACAAAATATGTATAACAGTTTAATACCATGTAATGCCCAGCCATATACTCAGGGGTTGCACCAATAGGAACTTGGGACTCATACACCACTAACCCAACCTGTCATTTATATTTTAAACAGGTGCTGTTATATCCTCCAACAGTTGAAACCAATTACCAACATCAGACTGAAGAAAGCGTCAAAATTTTTACCTTTGACCACTTGCCTATAGGATCAAGGTTAACTCCTCTATTTATCAGGACGCCAGCCAGATCCCTTCTCCGAGTCTATAACCAACAACAAAATTAGTCAAAAAGACAGATAGACATTCACTAGCCTTGATTACTAGAAGAGATCACATATAATCTAGAAAAGATTCAGCAATATTTAGAATATATTGCAATTATTAAGCAGAAATAATGCATGTGCACATTGATGTGAATGCCAGATTAAAACACGAAATAAGCAAAACATATCAAATAGGTATCAGCGTAACCTAACCTGTTCTCAACAATACATGACTGAGATAGCTATTGGTACCTTTAAAGTGTTTGTTCGCAAGCATTCAGGTCGACTCTTCTCCATAGCTTCCAGGAGTTCAACAAGCTCCGCAGCTGGAAACATCTGGAAAAGATACAGGTGATGACAAAGTTGGAAAAAGTTGATATCGGCAAGAATCTGGAACAAACCTAATCACTATATTGAACAATACCTCAACAAGAGCCCCAATGAGAAAATCATTGTAGCCATAATAAGAACCCAGGTCCACCTTTAGCTGCTCCACGTAATCCTTCTGTGAAGCACCATCATGTCTCAATTTTTTGAAATTTGAGAGCACATTAACAACTGATAGAAGGGAATCCATAATATCCATTAGTAACAAATTCTATACAAGAACTAAGGATTTAGAAAGAACAAAAACAAACAAACTTTTCATGTTTTAGGGGAGGAGATTTAAAGATGTCAAGAATAGCTCAAAGTATTGAGGACGTTTGTACATACTCTCTTTTATTCTGCGCTGGAGTTTTGAGAGGTTCGGAGGTTGATGTGCCTCTTCTTCGAGTTCCTGTCATGTCACAATAGTCAAATCAGTGGGAAAAAACATCCAAAAACTTTTCTAAGTCATTTCTTATGCCAATGTCACGAGGCCTATTCGGAAGTTTATAAGCACGATACATCAATCAGGACATGTTTTCACACTACCATTATTATAGTCTTTTCAAAGTTTGACCTTGTTACCATATAATACCAGTAAATAGTTGCCTTCTTCATCAGCAAATATCACTTTCAATTTATAGATTTAATTCTGAAAATTCTGAAAATTCTTTGTCAAATTTCTAGAAGATACACTGATATTCAAACAAAGAGGATACAGTTTAGTGACAGAACGAAAAAAAAACAACTGAAGGGCATTCTACATCGAATAGTTAAGTGCACAAGACTCTTTCAATTTCCTAAATTTCAGGTTGTTGTCCCATTAAGTTCCCCATAAAGATGAAAACAATTTGAGCTTCCAACTGTACAAATAAGTATAACCAAACAAATACTTGGTAATAAACTCATAAACTTGCAAGAAATTCAGTATCCAACATTACTACAGAAAAAAGATATAGTCA